TTATATATCTTCAAAACTACTGAACTGAAGCTCATGTATTTTATATCATTATAAAGGGAATTGAAAGACCTTTAAAATAAGGTATCACTCGACCCCCCTTTCCATTTAAGATTTTAGGGTTGGTGTCACCCCCGCTTAGGGAGCTGCACGTGCTAACGTGATTTTTTGCCAAACTTGTGTCTATCTCGAAAACAAAATTGACGGGTCTGAGCGTTTTTCAAAAAAAAAAACTGAGCTGTCAGTAAATGGGGCTGTTTCGTTTTCGATGCGCCACCCTGTATATATATATTTACTTTGGCAAAACCATTGTGCTATATGTTTAATAGATCGCTGTAGTCGGGAGAATTTCCAAATACTGGAATCAAGGTTATTTAACGCCCATTTTCAAGTCAGGAAATAAAAATGTTGAAAGCTGTCGTGCGGTGTGTATTCAGTCATCTATCTCGAAATTGATGGATTGCTTGATGAAAAGATCTCTTCAAAATGAATTTAAAAGCAATATTGTCGATCAGCAGCATGGTTTTCGCCGGGGTAGATCAAGTTGTGCCAACTTGATGTTATACAGTAACTATTTGTGCAATTCAATTGAGCAAGGTCAGCAGGTAGACCCGTTTATTTTAATTTTTCTAAAGCGTTCGATCTGGACAATTATTCGATACTATCGTCCAAGCTTTACAACTATGGTGTACAGAGCCAGCTCTTGAATTGAATTGGATGAGTAGTTGCTTATCTGGTAGATAGAAGATTTTTAAAATTATTAGGAACAAACATGATGCTGAATTGCTGCAAAGATACTTATACCATATTTCTCATTGGTGTGGAGTGAGTGTTTTACTTTCAAGTCGGTATCGTTCTCCTATTAGTTATTTTTATAGCATCAACGGTAGATCTTTACAAACTACAGACCAGATCCAGGAGATCAACATATTGAAAAAACGATCAACTGATCAATCGCCATTGTGTTGATCTGTCACTTTTTTCTTTTAACACTTTGTATTGTGTTCTTTGGTTCGTTCGTTACTTGAGTATTGCTGCTCCACCTGGTCTCCAAGCCGTAACTTGCAAATCAACCAACTAGAGCGAGTGAAGAAACTTTTTTTGAGAATCTGTGCATATAAAATGGGTTTCATTGGGGAGGAGTATAGTAATACTGATACTCTTCTCTACATGGTATGACTTTTCTTGAGCGACGCAGGTTGGAGTATGACTTAATTTTTTTGCACAAAATTCAAAGCAATGGTCAATTGATTCTCCCCAAAAATTTCACTCAACGTCTCCAAAATCTTTTATTTAAGTAGCTGGCAATACGGCGTGCTCTGCAACGCATTTATTTCTCATTTGTTTTCTGCAACGCTTTTCTTCCCGAATAATTGGTCCTCATACTCTCACAGACCAACTGATGAATCTTAAATGGAAGCGAAAGTATTTCGGATCGCTCTTCATATACTTGACGAATGCAGACAGAAGAAAAATATTAATATCACCGAGCTATGATGGCAAGTGTGTACAAGGTACCAATTTCTTTTTGTATGTTGCGGTGTCGCAAGTACCGTTTTTAAGGTCATTAATGCTCGTTCAGAACAAGGTGCTGTTGAATAGGTTCACGTTTGTTTGCGTTCGTCTTCTGAAGGTGAAACTCGGATAGTCTGAGAGGTGATCAAAATATGTTTCCGTCACCTAACTACTGAGATAATTGAGAACTGAGTGGTGCTGACAAATTTTTGATAATCAGTGAAGTGGTAGCGAGTAATGGACAAGAATAAAATAACTTTTTACTACGTTTTTCACCTTTCTGATAAATTTTAGGAGGGAGGAGCGACCAAAGTTGAAAAAAACTCCCAAGCTTCGTTTTTCCCCATCTTATAAGTGTCTGTTCAATCTAGGAAGTAGTGAACACAATTTAGGGGCACAAACATTTTAAAATTTTTCGGGTTACATCTACATATATTTGTTAAAACACCCAGATGATATTGTGCATAAAGATTTTCAAAAAACTCATTATTTTTACAAAAACATTTTTTATTTCCAAATAACAATATAAAATGCCTCATAATGTTAAGTGAAATAACGTCATTCCAAAAAAGACAATATATTGTACATTCCTTTTTGTTAAAGTGAGACGGTGAATATGATATATTTATACACAGCACGTTTTCAAAGTTGAGTCATTTACTTTAAGTGTTTGTAAGACTCATCAAAAGGAAGTGATATATCAAAAATCACTGTTCTGAAAGTTGCATAATAAAATAGATAGTAAAAGATTAAAAATTAAAAATAAATGTCCTCAGATTTTTTGTTATTCTTTTTAAGTGCGTATACTTTCAACTTTTGTTTCCAAAGGCAAGTTATTATTTTGCGTTTGTTAAAATTGAAGTCAATGAGTTTTGTGCCAAAACTTTTAGGACATACGTTACGTGTTCAGTTTTGATCCGATTGATCTTATCGAGGTGCAGGACCGGATTAGGATTTGTTTAGGTTTGATCTTTTTTGAGGAGCCTAGCACCTTAAGACTATGGTGCATATATTACTAGAAAAAACTCATTTTTTATACAGGGTGTTTCAGTTTATTGTTGCATAACTTTAAGATTCGATAGAACTTCTAAAATTAATGCATAAAGTCTATATAAACATGGGTCGAAAAATGCGTGGCTTCCGAAATACATAAATTTAGTTTCTAAAATAGTTTTTTTAAATATTTCGAACAATATTTGATGTATAACAGTGAAAATTGGTATACAAGGGTTTTTTGGTACGACAAAACGAACCATGGGCATAGTTTTACTGTAGCCGCTAGAGGGCGCTCTCTACTGTACCTGTAGTGCTTTTTGAATAAAAAACTGATTCTTCGCGCTTTTCAACATAAAAAAGCTCTCTGGTGAATTTTCCTTATAGTTAGCCGTTTTTGAGACATTTCGATTTTTAAGGTTCGATGCATTTTTAATTATTTATGATAAAATAACGTTAAAAAGTCAGTATCTCGATAATTTTTAGAAGTAGGCTGTGCCTGCAAATATTTTTGAAATTGAAAGCAGAATAAGGTTAAACGTCAATTAGTTGACAGTTAGTTTTGTTGTCTGTTGAAACCTGAAATGTTTTTTTGCAATTATGAATGCACGAAATTTAGTTTCTTTTACTGTTTTTTTTGTAAGTTTTATAAAAATGCCATTTTTATTCTCCAATCAAGAGTTCGCGGATATTCATTTTGTGTATGGCTTTGTAAAGGGAAACGGAGCAGAAGCAGCCAGAGAATACGCACGAAGATTTCCAAAGGGATCAAAACATAAATCTTCGTCAGCGCAGATTTACTCGTATGATTCTGCGTGAGTTTGATAGAGATCCGACCACAAGTGTTAGGAGAGTTTCTGGTGCCTTGGGAATTTCAGCAAGCCATGTTCACCGTGTTCTTAGAAATGAGCATAGACGTCCTTACCATTTGCAACCTGTGCAAGAACTACAGCCAGAGGACAAAGAATGAAGAATCACATTTTGTCAGTGGATTCTTGATAGAACTGATAATAACAGGGAGTTTTTAAGTAACGTTTTATGGACCGATGAGTCATGCTTCACTAGATGTGGAGTGGTAAATTTTCATAACCAACATATTTGGTCGCATGAAAATCCGCATGCAGTTCGGGAAAGAAATTTTTAGCATGAATTTAGTGTGAACGTGTGGATTGGTATCTACCGTGGGATGATGTTATGTTAGATTTAAGAAGATTGGCCTGGTTCCAGCTTGATGGTTGTCCAGCTCATTATTCGAGAATAGTTAGAAACTGGCTGGACGAAAATTATCCAGAAAGATGGATCGGCCGTGGAGGACCAGTCGCCTGGCCTCCACGATCCCTTGACCTAAATCCATTAGAATTCATTGTGTGGGATTTCTAAAAGAAAAAGTGTACCAGACTCCCATAACCACAATAGATATGCTAATAGACAGAATCAGGAATGCATGTGATGAAATAAGGCCTTATTTGAATAATGCTATACCACGTTCGATCATTCGTAGATGTGAATTGTGTATTGAACAATTGGGTTTACATTTCGAGCAACTACTTTAGATTTTGTATGTTTGTCTTAACTATCCAATAGCATTTTAGTTGTAAATAATTAATTTAATTTGTTAAAAATAATATTGGAAAATTAAACAAATTAATATTGTTTTTTGTGTTTATTTGGAGTTAGGAATTATTGCTGTGTTTAAAAACACAATCTAAACGATCATCTTAATTACTTGTAATACCCAAATCGAAAATTTAAAAAAAAATATTATTTTTCCCATAAATAATTAAAAATGCACCGAACCTTAAAAATCGAAATATCTCAAAAACGGCTAACTATAACGAAAACTCAAAGGAGAGCTTTTTTATGTTGAAAAGTGCGAAGAATCAGCTTTTTATTCAAAAAGCAAAAAGTTGCACTAAGAAAAAATTTCTGGTCATTTTAATACACTACAGGTACAGTAGAGAGCGCCCTCTAGCGGCTAAAGTAAAACTATGCCCATGGTTCGTTTTGGCGTACCTTAAAACCCTTGTATACCAATTTTCACTGTTATACATCAAATATTGTTCGAAATATTTAAAAAAACTGTTTTAGGAAGTAAATTTAAACACCCTGTATTTCGGAAGCCACGCATTTTTCGACCCATGTTTATATAGACTTTATGCATTAATTTCAAAAGTTCTATCGAATCTTAAAGTTATGCAATAATAAACTGAAACACCCTGTATACGCCGTGTAAAGGGAAGTGCCAACTTTGAAGTACATATTTGAATTTATAAAGTGTTTAATATTGAGCAAAGGATGTACTCGTATTAGTGTCGCCCTTGATTACTCTCCTAACGCCATCTCCTCTATTATTAGATCAACAGTTGGCCGATGTTTTTTCCAACACTTACCTAACTGTTTCTCTTGTGCAAAGAATGTAATTATAACGCAATTAAGGTAATGCACATTCACAACGCAGAACGCATGATTCGACAGAAAAACACGATATTGTTAGTATACTTTATTAACATATCTAGATTACATAGTTTTTGTAGTTATTCAGCGATTGGCGGAAAGTAAAGTCCGTTGAAGTCGTCTCATCTGAAAAAATAAGGAAAATCATAGGTAATGACAGAAAACACTGCAAAATTAAGGACAGCCTTATACTAAATAGTATACGAAATTACCAACGCAGTGATGAGTTACAGTGGTTAACTTTATTTTTTATACAGGGAGTCCCAATATAAGTTGACAATCTTATCTATCTATCTATCTTATCCGACAGGTTATGGGCGATTATACAATTAGTGGACAGACCGACATACAGACAAATCGATCGAAATGAATGACAAGGTTTTTCATGATATACAGGGTGATCAAGTAAGAATTCGAGCTACTGTATCTGGGAGCCTATCCGTCGTAGAGGCTTGCAGCAAAACAGCCTAGAGAAAAACCGGCAAAATATTTTCAAGTTTCTGGAATGGCCACTAGGGGCGTAACTGCAATTTTGAATCTTAAGAGGTAATGTTTCTGTGAATTCCGCTATTTTAAGCTAATATGAAATACCTGATCTTTAAATTCGAGGATAATCTGAACCTTTTTTGTCTCTAAAAATAAAGTGGTGGGGGGTATTCAAAGGTTTCCGTAAAACACACTCTGTATCTTTGAGACGGCTGAGCTGATTCTAACAAACTTGGGCTAGTTGAAAGGAGATATTCCTGGGCTACAAATGTTATAGTATTTGAAGTGTTGTTTAGTTTCAGATGTGGCCGCTAGAGGGCTTTCTTCGACATTCCGACAGAAATGGTTAATTTTCTCAAAAAAAAATAGAAGCATTGGTATGATTTTACCTATGAAAAAAATAGCTAAATGATGTCTAAGCAAGCTCACGAAAACCGCATCTCGATATCTTGTTCCTAACCTAAAATGTAGACCAAAGAAAATTTGATACGGAAATTTTTATTTTTTCAAACTCATTTTTCTTGTATTCTTTTTATTTATCAGAATAAAATCACCCTTTTGCAAATATTACATATTCAAAGGTAAGCAAATAATGCTAATAATAATAATGTTTATTCACGTAACAAACGAATATAACTAAAACTAACATAGGTTTACGTAAATAAACAGAATTTACCCACAGAAGAATAAATTCTTGTGCGTGGGTATTTAATTACATTTTTACATAAATATACATATACACATATATATTCATATAAATAAACACATAAATAGATGCACATACACACATACATATACACATACACACCTGTACATACATATATACACATACGAGGGATGTTTTTTAAGTTTTGCATACAGAAACATAGTAGGCCGCGCGGATCGAACGTCAGTACTGAATCTTATCCTCACTCTTTAGTAAGCTTAAATTCAAAGTTTCACAACAATACGTGCAATATTCTCTCTGCAGTGAATTTTTAAGTGTCACCAAGTCATTAGAAGAATGGAACTCAACCGAGAACATTTTCGCGCCATAATTTATTACAACTTTCAGAGACAATTATCGCAACATGAATGCCTTGCTGAGTGACTGTTTCCCGTTGGTATGAAGAATTCAAACGTGGACGGTGAGTCTTCGCGACGATCCCAGGGTGGGTGAACCAAAAACGGCAGACACCCACGGAAAACGTCGATGCTGTGCGCAAACTCATCATTGAAGATAGACATGTGACATATCGCGAGATTGAGGCGTCCTTGAAGATCTCAAAGATCTCAATTCAAAAAAATTTACATGAAGAATTAGGAGTAAGAAAATTAGTTTCTCGTTGGATACCCCACCTGTTGACTGAAGAGCAGAAAGCAGCCAGTGTTAATTGGTGTCAAAAAACGCTTGACCGTTTCAATTCCGGAAACTCAAAAAATGTGTACAGCATTGTTAGTGGTGATGAATCGTGGATTTACTGTTATGAACCAGAAAATAAACGACAGTCGGCTGTTTGGGTGTTCCAAGGTAAAAAAAGCCAACAAAAGTCATCCGTGTTTCGAAAAAGATGGTCGCGGAATATTTCTTATATAATTTGGTAATATGTTATATAATCTACTGGAAAGGTAAGTATGACATCTTTGACCTATACTTTTTGAGGTGAAAGGTGTTTGCTTAATGTTGTTGATTTTGTTTCTATACTAAGTGACATATAAATCCGAACACCCAGTTTAAATAGTTTTATTTTAATAAAATTTCGTATAAGTACTTAATGAAGCATAATAAGTAAATGATAAAAATTTCAAAATGATTGCACTGCTTTAAAGCCCTTTGACCTTTAATAATGTGTGGATGCACCCTGATGTGCTACGCATTCTCCAACGCGCCTAGGCATGCTTCTGATCAGGTGGTCAATGTCCTCCTGTGGTATCTCATTCCAGGCAACCACCAACTCCTCTCGAAGTGCTTCTAGAGTCTGAGGAGGACGTTGCAAATTGAGCAATCTCCTACCCATCATATCCCACACGTGCTCAATTGGGGATAAGTCGGGAGATCTTGGTGGCCATGGTAACAATGTGACATCATTATGTTGAAAGATGTCTATTGTGACTCTTGCAACATGTGGTCGGGCATTATCTTGTTGGAAAGTTTTATCTGCCAGGGTGTCAAGATAGGGTAAAAGATGGGGTTCTAGAACTTCGTGGATATAACGCTGCGCGTTCATGTTACCTCTGATGAAGATTAAAGGTGACCTGGAACCATAAGCTATAGCACCCCAAACCTTAACTCCAACAGTGTGATGAACATGTCTTTCAACAAAAAACTGTGGATTCCTCCTTTCACCACGTCGCCTTCTAACCCTGGCACGACCATGGTGCATGCCTAAACAAAATCGAGACTCGTCACTAAAGACAATACTGTTCCATTCCTGATCCCAGAGTGACCGTTGTCTGCACCACTCAAGGCGATTACGTCGGTGTTCTCGAGTTAAAGGGAGGACCCAGTGTGGCCGGTATGAAAACAAGCCAAAACTTCTCATTCGTCGGTAAACACTTCGCATGCCAATAGGTCTTCTGTGTTCTGCAAACCATTCATTTGCAATGGACCTGGTAGTGAAGAAACGGTCCCTTAAGGCCAATAATCTTAGGCGGCGATCTTCACGGTCTGTTGTTCAACGGCGGCGTCCAGTGCCCCTTGCTCTTTACGTACGGCCTTCTCGAAGCCATGCCTGACAACACCTAACCACAGTGTCTACACTTCTTTGCACTCTAACTGCAATTGCCCGAAAAGTCCAGCTTCCCGAAGTCCCACTATACGGCCCCTATCAAACTCACTAAGTTGACGAAATCGTACAGGTCTCCGTACTCTAGGCATCGTAACCGATCGTAAAGGATGTCAAGAACCAAAATCCGCCAACGTTGATTCTTTACTGCGGCTGAAATATTCATTTTTAGAACGTTAGTGAATTAAAAAAAAGCAGTATAAAAACCGGAATGTCCAACTGATAAGGCTGAAAATTTTTTCACTTGTTATTTACAGATAAATACGTTCACCAACTTTTATTAAAATAACACCATTTAAAATGGGTGTTCGGATTTATATGTCACTTAGTATAGTTTGATATAAGTGATCTAACGGAACAAGATTATTTCTATGGTGAAATTGATAATTTATAATTTTATTACAAATTGTTGCCTAGGGTCTAATAGTGGTTTGTCAAAGATTATTTTAAAATTGTTTTTTTGGATAATTTCTAATTTATTAATTTAGTTATTAAAATATTTGCTTAGATACTTGAATTTATTCAATAATGGTCTCAAATTGGTTATTACGTGATCAATATGTAAATTCCACTTTAAATGTGAGTCTAAATATACACCTAAATATTTTATTTTGTTTGTTAAATTTATTCGAGTATTTATATTATCACAGTTAATCTGTATATATACAAAGGATGGTAATTTGTTTCTGTGATTTGTGAATGGCATGAACATAGTCTTTTGAAAGTTAATAGTAGAGCATTTATGACTGAACCAGTCTGCAATTATTGTTAAGTCTCTTTCAACCTTCACTTTTAGATCATCCCATGAGTTGTTTACCAAATAAATGATAGCAGCATCGTCTGCAAAACATATGATTGTCCCTTCAGATTTTAAGCTCAGCAGGCTATTAGAGTAAAGTGTAAATAATAAGGAGCCTAACACTGTTCCTTGTGGGACACCATACGTTATCAATTTGTTTGTGCTTAAGGAATTATTTATTTGTACGCACTGTGTTCTGTTGGAAAGGTAACTTGTTATGAGGTTATAAGCCTTGCCTCTAATTCCTGAGTCGTGTAAGATTTCTAATAGTAGCAAGTGGTCTACTGTGTCGAATGCTTTTGCTAGATCTAAAAAGACACACAGGGTATATTCACTTTGGTCTAGTAATTTGTAAAATTTTGTTGTCAAAAAAGAAATTGCGTCTTGGGTAGGGGAATCCAAATAGTTTTTCATTATTCAGATTGTTTTTCAAAAAAATTTAGAAGTTGTGTTTTCATAATTTTCTTTCTTCAAAAAGAATATTTTTTTGTTTAAATGGATGTTCGCTATGGGTATATACGAAAAACATAAATTTTCCAGGTTTTTCTCTTGGCCATCTTAGTAGAACTTGTTTCGCCGCAAGCCTCTACGACTGATAGGTTCCCAGATAAAGTACTTCGCATTCTTAGTTGGCCACCCTGTACATATCATATAACATCCAAAAACATATCTCAATTTCGGAATTTTTCACAGTTACAATACTTCCTCACCAGTTTTGGCATACGAAGTAAAAGGAAAATTTGAGGACATGTTTGGTGATGCCGTACCTTTTTACGTCAAAAATAACTGGCTAACCTTTCAAGGCAGAACCTCGTATATGCAGCTGATTAATTTTTTATTAATCAAATACTGTTTAAAGAGAACAGTCCGTTAAGTTCTTACAAGAGAAAAGCTTCATTACTGCAGGTGGAGAACACCGAGGTGTGTCAAAAATGTCAGGAGAAGAAAGTGTAAACAACCTATGCAGGAAAAGATCAAATATTGATAGAACATTGATCCGTTTTGGCGATGTGACTTAGTGGGCCATATTTATTAGGAATGCGAGACGTAAGTAAATAAAAAGAGTAGGAACACTT